GATAAATAATGAAAATTTTTAATAAAAAATCGCGCGATTTTTTATTAAAAATTTTCGCCTGCGGCGCTTTTTCCATAAAAATCAATACTTGATAAATAATGAAAATTTTTAATAAAAAACCGTGCGATTTTTTATTAAAAATTTTCGCCTGCAGCGCTTTTTCCATAAAAATCAATACTTCGATAAATAATAAAAATTTTTAATAAAAAATCGCGCGAATTTTTATTACAAATTTTCGCCTGCGGCGCTTTTTCCATAAAAATCAATACTTGATAAATAATGAAAATTTTTAATAAAAAATCGCGTGATTTTTTTTTTATTGGGGGTATTTAACCCCATACCCTCCTTTACTACTAATTCAACGCTGAGCAGGAAAATGGGTACGATAAAAACTATTCTCTTTTATTGTTATTTTCTTAGATGTGGCTGCACTCTTCTAATGTCAGTGTGAAACCATGGTTGAATCAACGGTTCTGTATTCACAATGTGCGTATACATATATAAGTGCGTGATAATTATTAAAACTTACTTAATTTACTAAAAATACATCATAAATGTAAAACGTATGTTTACATTTCATTGTGCGGGGTTTTAATGCAACTATTTTTCCAAAGTGTCTACATAAATATAGTGTTTATTGTGTGAAATAGCGCCGAGAGGTTAGTTCAATTTACAAACTTTAACAACAAATAACTTAAAAACTATAAGCCTCCTGCGGCTAAAAGTATATATATTTGCAATCAGGAGAACTCCCCCTACCCCCCCATAGCCACCTTTTTTTTGTACGCGGGGGATGCCAAACTAAAATTTTCCCAAATTGTGAATCTGCGAAAATATCTTTTCAGCAGATGAATATACTTTTTAACCTTTTTTCCGAAAATTTACATACAGGCTCGAAAATATGCGAGTAACATTAGGTTTGTATAGTAACTTCTCCAGTAAAACATTGCAGCGAGAGCGTAAAAGCAAACTAGAGCGTAAAATTGAGAAGAAGAGAAAACTAGCAGAAGAGGTTATTGAACACAAAACTAGCAAAAACTTGCAAGAGAACAGTTGTTGCACTGCTTTGACAATCTGCTGTAAACATTTTACTATTTATAAATCAGTTTTAAACTCTTTGCTTTACACACAAGCACTTACACTGTCCAGTACATCATTAATATTATGATTTCCACTCATTTTACTTTTGTTTGTGCCAAAGGCGAATCAATATAAGGTGATAGCAGGAGTACAAAAACAAACATTTACATGTATTTTGTTTTTGCTTTGGCGGCATAAACTGTCAAAACCTGTAAGTGTGTGTAGAAATTCAAACAAAATTTTTCAATTTGATATCAGAAGCCGTGCGGCGAAACACATACACAAAATCAACTGAGCTAGTAACACCACTTTTTATATATTCTTTTGACATTTATTCTTCTTTTTCTTCTGCTAGCTAATTTCGTGCGTGATATTAAAGCATTTATTTTGTTTTTTTTTTAATGAAACAATGAACATATGAAGAGATCTCACCAAAATAGGTATAAGCGCAATGGTTTTAATTAGCTAAAAATGATGCTTTAAGCAAGATCTTAATATATAGAGAAAGTAAATATAAACTTTTTCTGTAGTAGACTCTTTCATATCACAAATCATCATATCATTTTTATTTGTTAATTTAAAAAGAAAGCAGATCTCAATGTAGATTAAAATACTCTGTAAAAAAAATAAATTTTATTTATTTAAGGAAATTTGTATGAATTTTACTGAAACGACTTTAAATACTCAAACAAAAATTTGTTTATTTGCGCATATTAAGAGAGGTAACCAGTTTCCTATTTTAATGTGTGCAAATTTGCACACCGTGTAATAAAGCTAAACATTGCCTGTTTACTTTTACATACCACATTTGACGCGAAGAGCAAATTTACACATTAAAAGTTTTAAATAGAGTAAATGTTTATTATTAGTAGGGAATGTAGTTTTAGTTTGAAAATTTTTGCAATTTTAAACATTTTACATGTGTATTTATGTATATATTTTAAAGATCTCAAATCCTGAACATCTTATACGTATATTTAGATACACGTATAGATATACAGATTCTTGTTGACAAATATATACTTTTCAGTAGTAGTTTTACATGCTCGTTTTAGAGTGTACAGGTACAAATGTAACATATTAATTACTATTTATTATACTTACTTTGCAAAATACTTATGCACAAAAAATGTAATTTATAAGTTGAAATTACAAATATTTGATTTTATGAAAAATAAAAATATATATACATGTATTCCAAGTCCTTAGGATGGGTTAAATTATGTCGATTTCTTGAAAATGTTTGGTTTTCTTACAAATTATGAGATGTATACGTAAAAAAAAAGAAAACTGGACACATTTGGATGCATATTTGGCTTGGTCAGTGATACATTTTCTTGAGAGGGCGTGGCAACACTGGTAGTGTCTACGAATATACTATAAAAAAGCAAATTTTGTTAAGAAGAAAATATGAAATTTTATATTTTACCCCCAAAAGGGGACTAATTTCTTCTCGGTTTTCTTCTTATTCTACTGAGCTAAGGCAGTATCAAAATCGAGCTGTCACAACTGATACCACCTTGTATTATTGCATCATGGTTCATTGTCACGTCGTCGCCATATTAACAACCTGACAATTAAGCAGAATGTGACATTTCGTGCTACCATATCCAATATCTAAAATCCTTCAAATTTTATTATTCATCTTTTGCTTGTTTAAAACATTTTGTTCTTATAATCGAAATTTGAACAAGCAAACGGCCTTTTGTTGGGTATGGTTCAGTTATTTGCACAATGCTTTTGGGTTATTGTGTCCACACGCGTACTCCCAAATAAAAAACTGTTAACATACGCCTGTGATCCAAGCATTAAAATTTAGTTAAAAGTAAAGAGTTAAAATTTTCGAACACTAATTTTTTTGTAAAATATACTGTGGTAGCCGAAGTTGGACAGATTAGGGTTATTTTTCCAATGCGGAAGGTATTCTGCGATTAAATCATGTGGCTTGCGTAATCCGAGTTTACATTTTCGGGAAAAATGCTATTTTTTTAATGTCCAAGAAATTTTCAAAAGTGCCCCCAGGGGTCAGAGAGGAGAAGGGTTCACACCCCCTGCAATATTGAACAGTAAAATATATTTTAATTTTGCTCAAAGAACCAACGACATTATCAAAACATACCAGAAGTGGATAATACTCACTTCTCGGAAAGTCAAAAGGCGCATGCGTCCCAAAGTAAATTCCACTTTCAAGGTACTTGAAAGACATGCAGTTAAATGGACAAATGCAATTGGGAGTTCACAAGCAAATAAACGTGCAAGAAATAGTTCTGATATTAGCAAGTCAATATTCTTATTAAGCCTCATCAAAAAGTTCCTTATCGTTTAAAGATTTTAGGGAATGCCGCATTATATCCGACATAAGCTAGTATTCCATACGAACCCAGATATATATGTTCACTAAAATTTTATTATTCTAAAAACAAGTCTTTGGGAAGTGGTTATCATATTTAATGTAAAATTTAAACATTTTTAAGATAAGATTTTAATTACTTTTAAAAGTTAAATGTTAGTACAACTATTTTATTTAATGTTGATCTTCCAAATTTATTATGTAAAATTCCCTCTAGCAAAAAAATTGAATGGGGTAACGCCGTTTCGATTTTTTAACAATTGAGCAATTGTCAAAAATCTGCTTTTTAATCAAAAAGTTGTTTATTGAAACTATCTTCATTTTTTAATCATGATTCCACCATGGGCGTGACAATATGCCAAAATATGGTAAAAAACTTCAGATTGATTTTAAAGTAGCTATAAATTAAAAACGAATCAATTGTTCGTGTTTTTAAGTAATTGGTTGAATAACACAAGAAATAGTGGCATCGACTTTTTAATTTGCTCATATATTTTCTTAGTACATGCTTCAAGATCAATGATTTGAGGTATTCATGGGAAAGTTTATGTAGGTACATTTTACACTTTGAACATAAATGTGTATGCACATATTTTAAGGTACACTTCTTAACAAACAAATTTTTTTAAGTTATTATGCATGGATAAAGGAGACATCTTCTTTGATTTCAGTACTAAAGTTTGACATTTTATTTTTAGTATTTGAAGTGCTTATCAAAACTTTACGACACTCACATATTGACAAGATTGGCCATTTAACTTAAAATTATTTAATTTTAATATTTGTTTATATTCAACAATTTATATTGAGCTCGAGGCCGTTTAAATGAAAATTTATTGTGGGAAAGCAACAATAATTTGAAAAAATGGTAGAAGTGATAGCTATTTCGGAAATCACCACATTTCCTCATCAGACTTCTTTCAGTAGGATTCGAACAGACGATCCCACTGACTCAGCCAGTTGCCTATGCACCGTGCTAAGTACGCCTTGTAAATTATCGTTTGCTTATTTCCACTATTTTCATTTTTGTTATGTCAACTCAATCAAGCGCAGCTATTCCGCTGCAATTCACTTGATCATGTGGTTGTTGGTATTGTTGGTTTTTGCTAATAATTATATTTTTAGAATGTTTAACTTTTAGGTGTGCTCGTCCTTAAGTTATTTGTTTGTGTTATTTTTTTGGCCTTATAAACAATAACAAAAACAAATAACTTAAGGACGAGCACACATAAAAGTTAAACATTCTAAAAATAGAATTATTAGCAAAAACCAACAATACCAACAACCACATGATCAAGTGAATTGCAGCGGAATAGCTGCGCTTGATTGTGTTGGCATAACAAAAATGAAAATAGTGGAAATAAGCAAACGATAATTTACAAGGCGTACTTAGCACGGTGCATAGGCAACTGGCTGAGTCAGTGGGATCGTCGGTTCGAATCCTACTGAAAGAAATCTGATGAGGAAATGTGGTGATTTCCGAAATAGCTACCACTTCTACCATTTTTTCAAATTATTGTTGCTTTCCCAGAATAAATTTTCATTTAAACGGCCTCGAGCTCAATATAAATTGTTGAATATAATTGTTATAAGGCCAAAAAAATAACAAAAACATATTATTTGTTTATAAAAATGCAGTTTATACTTTAATAAAACCCCAAGGTTCAATTTTTGCGCAACATTAAAAAAATCAACAAACTTTCGTAAAAATTTCGGGCTTTTAACTCGATTTCCTAGAAATACATGTTTTGAGAATGCCGTTTGTAGTCCGATCAATTTAAATGAAGTGCAAGTTTAAAATAGCTGCGATTTATCGTTGGTTTTTAATATATATATATTCTTTTTTGATGAAGGTGTTGCTCATTTTCTTCGTTAAAAAAAAAATAGCGTTTAGATAATATGACTTTGACGGCAAATTACAGCTGCTTTAAACTTGCACCTGGTTATACTAAAATTGAAATAGAAAGCTCGAAATTTTTACGAAAGTTTGTCGATTTTTTTAA